ACACATTATATAGTCGTGACGTTAAGACTGTTCGTTTAACTATTGTACGTGATGTACGTTGTTTGTTTTTTGGGCTGTGGGAGTTAATGAAAGTGTTCCAAAACAATAATTTCTTGATGACTTAATATATCCATGTATATATGTAGATATAAGTAATGAATGTTTCAGCTTGAAAGCTTTCTTTTGGTAGGATTCAAGAATAATTGAATCAAACCCTACAGCCTCACTGAAGACATTTAAGGGCAGCGTATATAAAGTTGTCAAATCGAAATTGATTGTTACATCTGTTCGTCATAGTGATGAGGGAGACTATATCTGTACTGTCATTGACCATTCACAAACTTCTAATTCCTATAAAGTTGCAATAAACATCTATGGTAAGTTCAGAAATTGGTGGTGAACAAATGTATTTATATGTATTGTATATAATGTGTATGTCATATGCAAAAATAAAGGGTTAGTAAAGAAATGTGTTGAGATCGTAATGAAAGGATAATTTGATAAAAACAGTTTTTAATGTACAATAACTGACAGGTGTTAGTTTTTAGGTATAGAATACTGTCATCGTATAGGTCATTTGCTATGCAAAATATAGACTATTGTGTTGAGTTTTGGTGCCCTACTTTAGAAAAGATATTGAATTGTTGGAAAGCGTTCAGAGAAAGGCTACTGTGATGATACCTAGGGTTGAACAGTTGTCATTATGAGGGCAAACTAAAATCTTTGATATTGCTTACTCTTGGAAAAAGAAGAGTTATAGGGGTCTGATTGAGGTTCTTAAGATTGTTAAGGAAATTGTTAAAGGTGATGCATTATAATTATATTTGTAATTAATTGTGAGCTCGGTAGGGCTAGGGTACGAAAATATACATTTTGGAAAAGACATTTTCCACTAATAGGGTAGTTGGCCTTTGGCTCTGAGTGTTCTATTTCTATTTTAAACTTCAGATTAGTGGATGGAATGGCCTAGAAAGCCCCTTGTCCTTAAGTTATATGTATATTTATAAGATGACGTCTAATATAAGCATACAATTATCCATGATGAAAAACAAGCTGTTTTTTCTTCCAAATATCAGGAAAATTTGGATAGCCATTGTAAATTATCACTGATTCGTGAATACATTTTATGAAGTTTTAATTTTGTTATTCCGGTATTAGTAAATTATATGTTTTTGCTCATTATATATGTGTGTACATATGTAGATTTTGTTATAGCTTAAAGTGGTATAGAATTGATATATTTATATATTAACAATGAATCTCTGAGTCAACTGAACTAATTGTGTAATTTTTTTGTAACGAAGTAGACTTCACATGAAACTCAGAACAGATTCTGAGCTTGATTTGAATGTTTTTTGTTTTTTGCCATGGATTTTTCTTTGGATATAGTGATTAACCAATTTCTTCGCACTGGTCATGGCTGTCTGACCAGTAATGGTTGCCTTTATAACTGCTGAACTCAGTCTTTAACTTTGTGATCATGCAATTTGAAACCTGGTATTTGTTTTTACATTGAATCTTTGAGTCAACCAGACCACGTATGGTATTGAACCTGCAGGAAGCACACATTTAGTATCTTCTCAACCTTCTGGTAATTTTACAGAATATGCACTGTTATGTGTGAAATACAGTGTTTTTCTCAACCCCAGAATTGGAGGAGACACAATGATTTTCTTTCAGTAGATGTAGAAATTTGTAACAAAATTTTGCTTGATGTCATGTTGTTATTGTGATACAATGTCTATAGTATAGTTATTTCCTCAAAGCTAATATATTGTCATAATACGTTTGTTGAAAGTACTTTGTATAAAATAACTTTGGATTGATACCTAAAAACCCTACGCAGAAAAAAACCGTTAGAAAGCAATGGGCCTGAAGAAATCTACTGAAAAGTGACAAAGCATAAACATGGTTGACCGAAAACTGTTTATATAGAAATGAATAAAATGAAGATGATACTGATAATACAAACAAATGAGCTGCAGGACACTGAAAATAGTGATGGTGATGTAGAATGTACTGGATATTGAAAAAGAAGAGGAAAAAAAGAGGTTTGAGTTGCGTAATAAAACAACAAAAATTCTATTGATGAAAAAGAACGCTACAGATCATCGTAGGAGAAGAAGAGGGTTCAGCAGAAGAAGGTTTGATGCATAATTATTTCCCAATAACCATTAACACCTGGTAAACCATAGTTATGATACCATTTGGATTTAACTTTTTAAAGCTTTGTAAAAACGAATATCTGTTCTTTTTATAGTTAATATTTAAATTTACTTCAACATATTTAAAGAGATTATGAATTGAATTGGTTAACTTAATTAAGTTTATTAAAAATTGGCTTGAATCAGAATGTATGCATAAGTTTAGCCTGAACAAAATTTTTGAATACTTATTTTTGAATGTTGATTTAAAGACCATATGGACTTTAGTAATATATTTAAAATTTGATGAGGATTTTTTTATCGCTCTTTCTCATTCTTTAACAATTTTTTTTAGCTTTAGTTTTTCCCTAGTTATGAATAAAAAGAATAAATATTAATTAATACTAAGCTCTAAAACTTTGAAGTACTTGAAACAAAAACAATCCTATACAAAACTACATTAATTATTGGTCATAACTATTAAGTGGAGTTAAGACTGGTAATATTGTACAGCAGAATTGCATTATGGTCATAGCAGAACAGTCACATCCAATCTACTGACTTAGATGTGAGGGAATTAACTCGTGCTTAGCTTACGATGTATGTACTAAAATTATTTGACAATTGAAACACTGTTTAGGAAAGAATAGTAAAGAAATGGATAGATACGGGATTGAATCCTCAACCCCTTGCATACGAAGCCCAAAGAGTTCTTCACATATGCAACATTTTTAAGT